ACAGTACCTCCAGTCGACTCGACCCCTGCTGACTCATTGCCCCCTGCAGTTGATTCTTCCCCTCCGGATCCTTCACCAGAGGCTCTTCCCATTGCTCAAAGAAAAGGTACACGTACTACTCGTAACCCTTATCCTCTTTATACCTTCTTGAGCTATGATCGTCTTTCTCCTCCTCATTTCACCTTTGTTTCTAGTCTTTCTTCTGTTTCTATTCCTAAGACCACAGGTGAAGCACTTTGCCATCCAGGATGGCGCCAAGCGATGCTTGATGAGATGACCGCACTTCATACCAATGGCACTTGGGACCTTGTTTCTGCTCCTCCAGAGAAGTCTATAGTTGGTTGTCGCTGGGTGTTTACTGTGAAAGTTGGACCTGATGGCCATGTTGATCGTCTCAAGGCACGCCTAGTTGCCAAGGGTTTTACTCAAATATTTGGTCTTGATTATAGCGATACATTCTCTCCAGTCGCTAAGATGGAGTCCGTCCGCCTATTTCTTGCCCTTGCTGCTGTTCGTCACTGGCCACTCCTTCAACTTGACATCAAAAATGCCTTTCTTCATGGTGATTTACAAGAAGAAGTTTACATGGAACAACCACCTGGTTTTGTTGCTCAGGGGGAGTCTGGGAAGGTAGGTCGTCTTCGAAAATCCTTATATGGTCTCAAGCAGTCTCCTCGAGCATGGTTCAGTCGCTTTAGTTCTGCTGTACAGGCGTTTGGCCTAATTCGCAGTAAAGTTGACCATTCTGTATTCTATAGGATTACATCTCCTAACAAGTGCATCTATTTGTTAGTCTATGTTGATGACATCATCATCACCGGAAGTGCTCAAGACGGAATCCGTCAGTTAAAACAACATTTATTCAGTGCATTTCAAACAAAGGACCTTGGGAAGCTGCGTTACTTCTTGGGAATTGAGGTGGCGCAATCTAGACAGGGCATTTCTATCTGTCAAAGGAAGTATGCCTTGGATATCCTAGAAGAGACTGGTATGTTGGGGTGTAAACCAATTGATACACCCATGGATCCTAATGTTAAGTTATTGCCCAGACAAGGGGAGCCGTTATCTGATCCTGGACGTTATCGAAGGCTGATTGGGAAGCTCAATTATCTTATTGTGACTAGGCCAGATATTTCTTTCGCTGTCAATACGGCTAGTCAGTTCCTTGATTCCCCTTGTGATTCTCATTGGGATGCTGCTGTGAGGATCCTCTGATACATCAAAGGAGCACCAGGAAAAGGTTTGTTGTATTCAGATCAGGGAAATACAGAAATTTGTGGTTACTCAGATGCCGATTGGGCAGGAACACCCTCGGACAGACGCTCTACTTCTGGTTATTGTGTCTTCTTCGGAGGAAACTTAATCTCATGGAAAAGCAAGAAACAACCTGTTGTTTCCCGATCTAGTGCAGAAGCTGAGTATCGTGCAATGGCAAATACTACCTGTGAGTTGATCTGGTTAAAGCAGTTGATTCAGGAGCTTCATCTTTGTGAACAGAAACAACCCATGACACTCATCTGTGAGAATCAAGCTGCGCTACATATATCCTCTAATCCTGTTTTTCATGAGAGGACCAAACATATAGAGATTGATTGTCACTTCATTCGGGAAAAGATTCAGTCAGGAGAATCAAGACAGCTTTTGTCAACTCGTCTAATCAACTAGCAGATGTTTTCACTAAAGCTCTTAGAGGTCCTCGGGTTGAATACATTTGTAACAAGCTTGGTGCTCATAATATATACGCACCAGCTTGAGGGGGAGTGTTAGAATATTAGATATGATATAATTAGATATGATTGGATTCTGTCTTATCCGTAAATATTCTGACTGTATTCTGACTGTATTAGGATTAGGTTTGGGCCTTACACTGTATTAGGATTAGGTTTGGGCCTTACACTTAAGCCCATTAGGGTCTCTATATATTGTAACTCCCTGACACAGATCAATACACAACGTATTCTTTTACATTTAACTGGGTCTATCAATAACCTCCCATGTTTTATTTTTCTCCAAAGCATTCATCTCCTCTTGCATGGCTTGAGCCCAATTCCTATCTTTCAAGGCTTCATGTACTGATTTTGGGATTGCAATAGAATCTAGTGCTGAAACAAAGCTTTTGTGCTGCACAGAAAGATTAGCAGAGAAAACAAAGTGGGAGATAGGGTATTGAGTACAAGAGGGACAGGAGGAACAAGTTTTCTTGTGACAAGATCTTTTTCCTTTTCTAAGAGCAATAGGTAAGTCATCAGAAGTAGAAGCAATGGGTAAGTCATTAGAGATATCAGAAGAAATAGACAAATCATGAGAGGAAATAATATTAGAATCAGAAACAGGAGATTCAGGAGACTCAGAAGAAATAGGAGATACAGGACTTACCAGTGGTTTAGACGATTGAGGTTGCTGGTGAGACAGTATGGGTTGTATCTCAGGTGTATTTGAAGGTTCTGACACACCAGGAGCAGACACACTAGGAAGAGAGAAGATTGATCCAGACTCAAAGAAGGAAGGGGACGAGTCTTCTGAAGAACTGTTCTCCCCCTGACGATGAGGACCCAGGAAATAAGATTCAGATTCTTGAAAGGTGACATCCATAGAAACAAAAAATTTCCGACTTGGTGGATGATAACACTTGTACCCTTTTTTATAAGGGTTATAACCAAGGAAGACACACTTAAGAGCCCTAGGATCCAACTTACTCCGATGTTGTTTATGAACATGGACAAAGGCAACACATCCAAACACTCTTGGTGGAAGGCTCTGCAATATGGGAACAGAAGGAAAGAAGGAAGTCATGGAATGAATAGGACTGATATTGTTAAGGACCCGTGAAGGTAAACGGTTGATCAAAAAAGTTGGAGCTAATACTGCTTCTCCCCAATAAGAACTAGGAACAGATGTCTGGAAAAGTAGTGCTCTAGCAACTTCAAGAAGGTGACGATTTTTCCTTTCAGCAACCCCGTTTTGTTGAGGGGTATCAACACAGGTGAGCTCATGAATCATACCTCTGTCTGAAATGAATTGTGACAGGCGTTGATTGACGTACTCAGTACCATTACCAGATCTGAGTCTTTTAATACCCTTACCAAACTGAGTCTCAACCATGTGATGAAACCGAATAAATATCTCTGGTACTTCAGACTTGTCTTTCATCAAGTATATCCATGTTATCCGAGTACAATCGTCAATAAAAGAATCAAACTGCCTTGCACCGGAAACACTGTGCACTTTAGAAGGGCCCCAAACATCAGAATGGATAAGAGAAAAAGGTTCCCTGCTTTTAATAGTGCTAGAAGGAAATGGCACTCGATGGTGTTTTGCAAATTCACAAACATCACAATGAAAGGTCTCAACCGACTTATTGAGAAACAGAGAGGGGAACATAGACTTCAAAAGACTAAATGGTGGATGCCCCAGATGCTTGTGATGGAGCCAAATCATAGACTCTGCAGTAGAAGGATGACGTGTCATTAATAACTGATTTTTGCTAGCATGGTCTGGAAGGAGATGATACAACCCATCCTGTTCATTAGCAACTCCAATTGTCTTCTTCGTGGTAAGATCCTGAATAAGACAATGAGAAGGAAAAAATGTGATAGAACAATTCAAATCAGTTGTAAGTTTTTGAGTGGAGATAAGATTAGTAGAAAGCTGAGGAACATAAAGAACATTTTTAAGAAACAAGGTTGAATTTGAATGTTACAGAACCAATAACTAATTTATGGGATCCATCAGCTACGGATATAGTATGACTACCAACAGTAGGATGATAAGAACAAAACTCAGTACGACAAGCCATATGATCAGTTGCACCAGAATCCAAAATCCATAAGGTTTTAAAATCAGTGCAAGAAGCAAGAAGAGATATAGAACGTGTGCTCTTACCAGATAAGATCGAAGAACTATCATGCTCGGCCATTCTTTAACAAAAAAGTTAACAACCAGCGATAAAATCAACCAAACAGAATATCAAATGACCTCTGATCAGAAAAATAATCACAGATCCAGACAGAAGACAAGAAGACGAGAAGAATGGTGGTGGTCCGGTCCAAAACAACGGCCGCACGCGCCGGAGAAAGGAGCTGCGCGTGGGATTCACTCGCCGAGAAAGGGGAGGCGCGTGAGAGCGCGTGGAGGGGCTTCTCCGGCTGAGATTTTTCTGGTGTGGTCGTCCGGTGAGCGCGCACCTGTCTGCGGGTGGTCGCGGTTGAAAAGTCGTCGGAAAGTGGTCCAGACGGTGAAGACAGATCTGATTGGAGGCGGTCGGAGGTGTTTCGGTCGTTTGTGGCGGAGGACCAATGCGTAGAATGATAGAATAGAGGAAAAATAAGGTCAACAATGGTCCCCTTGGTCCAAAAGGTCCCCGGAAAAATTTCCAGTGGCGGCTGATGGCGGCAAGAGGCAAAGAAATTAGGGTTTTGTTAAAAAAAAGAAGATAATATGTGCGGAAGCAAAGCCCTCAGATCGAGAGCTCTGATACCAACTTGAAAAAGGGTATTCTAATATATTATAATAAATAATTTGTACAAAGGGTTCTCTATTTATAGAGAATACTTGACCTAATTTTGACCTAATGGGCTTGGCCCAATACAACAAATAAATGACTAAATAATAACTAAATAATTATTATTTACAACAGAATACTTATTTTTCAATTCAGCACAAGGCATGCGCAAATCAGCATTTCGGGGGGAAAAACAAAACAAAACAAACAACTATCTGTAGATATAGTAGGCTGGGCTTTTAGGGGCATCCACCAAGGTAGCATTCCACGAAACAAGGTATCCATAAAATCAGTTTTGTAAATGGCACAAAAAATAAAATCCACAAACCAACCAGACCATGGACAAGTGTTGACACACTGTCTATAACAGGTCAACACCACACATTTAGCATACAAAAATTGATGCGAAATAATTTTAAGAAAATCTTTCTATCAACAAAAAAAAAAATAATAAAGACGTCTTCTGTAATAAATCACATTAACAATAAGCAGCACATACTTATCAGAGGAAGCATCAGGACTTCTGCGATCACTTCCTTCTTCCTGTTAACAGAAATATTGCCATTAATATAGATGCAGAAAATAATGTACAAAATTCAAGGCAGAGACCCACCCCATCTGAATCAGCACCAGCTTCAATGATTTTCCATTTTTCCTTTTTAAGATTTAATATTTCCTCGTCACCGTCATCGTACAAGACCTAAAATAGAGAGAAAAAACGGTCAAAAGAAAATAAACATACTAGTAGTTATTATTTGGCCATTTAAAACTAATATTTTTAGGAAGAAAAAAAGCTATACAACAATTTGGCCATCTTGAGTTTGCAATAATAGCAAAAGATGCAAGATCTACTATTCAAATTGGAAAAGCTATAAAACAAAACAAAAGAGAAGTTCTACTGTGACATATTGGAGGGGGACAGGCAGGGGCAGGGGAATGGTAGGGAAGAGAGATGAATGTATAGCTTTCCAAATCACCTTGTGCTTCTTCATGGCAGGATCAAAAGAATCAACAGTGCCTTCATAAAACCTGCAAAAGATTGTGTCAAAAAAAAATTATATTTTTATTTAACTAAAGTGAAAAGGCAGACTACGAAGAAGTTGAACATGCACATGATAGACTTAAAAGCTGACCAAAATATATATATATATATATATGAGGTAGGATCCTTTGACACCAGTGTCAAATTTCAAATTTGACACCTCATTTGAAAGCCATTAGATCAAAAAAGATCAATGGTGTCACATGTTTGCAAATAAGAGTCGTTGATCTTTTTTGATATAACGGCTCTCAGATGAGGTGTCAAATTTGAAATTTGACACTGGTGTCAAAGGATCTTACCTCTATATATATATATATATATATATATATATATATATATATATATATATATACATATATATATATCCCCTGGTTCAAAACTTCAATTGACACACATATCTCTACCAAGTTTTACTGAAAGCAACATAGTCAAAGTTTATTATATGGAATATTGGTGTAACTACATTAAGGCATAGCCTGACAGCTTATACAAGAAGTTAAAACAAGAAACATACAAAATAAGCCAGAAAGGGAAATCTTGAGCTCAAACCATTACATAATGATAACTTGACCAATAAGGTTTTACAAAATGAATATAATTTAATCGCAGATAGAGTGGCCCAGAGTGGCTGAACTCAAACACGCTATAGCAGTCTAGAAGATCATGAAGCAAATGCTAAACCAAAGACAAATGCTACAATTCAAATAACTACTAATACAGAGAAAAAAAGATGCTCAAAACTTAAGACATATTTATCATTAATACCCAAAAAGTCGTAGCTTAACTTAAAGACAACTAAGGCATAAAAGAGGTGGGTTTGGCCCGCAAAGGCTAGAATAGAGACTAGAAACAGGGAGTGAAGAGGTAGCAACAGAGCAAGAAACTGCCCCCAAAGAAATATGGGCTGCTTTGAGCTTCCCAAAACAGAAAGCAGATAGTGTGAAACAAGTGTTAGCTGCTGACTTATGCTAAAACAGGTGGACTACTGAGAATATGCTCAAACTGGGTGGGCCATGCAACTCTCTGTTTAAAAGGAAAGAAGACTGACATGGGATAGTGCAAACTCTTGACTCTGAGTAAGATGGGTTTGTGCAAAGTCTCAGTGTGAGTGATGGGTATGCACAAGAAAGAAAAGGCTGCTACCCTAGAAAGAAACACTGCATGCAGTGGGTATGGGAACCAAGAGAAAAATTCCTTTAAAGATGCAATTAAGTGTGAGCGGAGTATATTTTTCAATCTATGTGAAGAATAGCAGCTGCTTTGTGCCACTCCAGAGAGATATCACCACTATCGGTAACATATATATATAAAAAAGTTGTAATTCACACACTGCAAATATGATCAAATAAAATCATAATATAATTGGCACACAAGGCCACAGTAATCCAGATAAGAGGTGTAAAGATCATGCAACCATATATACCACCAAGGAAACAAACAGCTTACACAACCAGGTACGCAAACAGTAATAATTAAAGTAAATTCCTAACAGCATTTAACTCTCCTGTCCTTGATCCCTGCTTAACCAAATTTTCCAGTCACAGCAGCATGTCAGAAATGAAGAACTGCCATTTACTTACATTTGATCATCTGGCCACCAAACTTCAACCCGTGAACCAACAAGATTTTGACCATATTTTTTGGTATTAGACTCCTGAGACAGCAGCCAGAAGATTAGCAATCAAAGTGAGAAGAAAATAAAAACTCTGTAATAAGCAAAAAAATAGCCAGAATTGCATGCGTTTTGGAACTATGTAATAAAAATACAAATTATCAACATATAACATAAGAAAGAAGTGAGGCAATATAAAAAATTGCACATAATTATTTCATGCGATATAATAAAGGAGGGGAAAACCTAGACAAAAGACACTATGGTGCAGAAGGAAATAGAAGAACAGAACATTGATTGGTGATATTTCACCAAATCTGTGGTGCACTTATAAAGAACTCCAATAGATTTGACATACTGCAAAAGTCCAGCATAAAACCATAAAGGTGTAGATAGGATTTTGCAAAAGGACAAAAGCCCTAATGAATATATCATGAGGTTTTAATTTCATTATTTAACAATTATGGAACAGTGTACTTACATTTTCTTTTCCTGTGCGTTTTCTCTTCAAATTTGTCTTAGGAGTCTCCTCAGAAGGTTCATCTTTAGTTGATTTCATAGCTGACTTCGGCGAAGACATCATTTCCTAAACAATTTATAGTAATTTCAATAATCTATTATCGAACAAAATAAAAAGGCAGAAGAAATATCATGTTGCAATAATATGAATAAAAATTGATAAAAGTTCTACTCCAAGCACAAAAGTACCTTATCATCATCTTTAGCAGAAGATTTTGCTACACCCTTTTCAGAGTTAGCTTTCCCCCTCCCTTTCCTTTTCTTGTCCTCCGACTGCCTCGAAAAGGATCCACCACCACCCTTGTTTCTTTCTTCTGTTTTCTTAGCTGTGTGCTTCTCTGCATCTGGATCACTTGTAGAGCTGCTTCCCATTTTAACTACATCTACCACAGTCTTTTTCACATCAGAACTACGACCAAGTCCCTTTTTCATGGACGAACTAATAGGTTTTGCTTCTGAATCACTAGTTCCTTCAGACAACTTTTTCAAAACATCCTCAGCAGCCACTTCTTTCGCAGAGCTATCTTTCTTTTTTGTTCGTCCACGTTTCTTTGAACGTTTTTCATTATGGATACCCTCATTTGGTGAAGGAGAAGCAACAACATCAGATTCACCATCACCTGCTTTTGGTGATGAAATCTTAGTATCAACCTCATTGTCATTCTCTGAAGGACCTGCAGCCTCAGCACAATTGTCCTCGTGAGGAGAACTGGGAACATCCTTGCTATGGCTTTTGGAGTCAATCATTTTCTCAGCATCCTTCTCTTTAGCAAGATATGACTCCGAAAATTTTGCCAATTTTAAAGAGCTAGGTTTTCTTCCTTTCCTTTTGGTGGCTTGTTCAGGCTTTGGTTCACTATTGCCAACTTTTTCAGTGTCCAAATCATTGGGCTCCTCATTAACTGATAAATTAATACCTTTGGACAGAATGGAATGATCAGTATCGTCTTGCTTCTTTTGGGAATTCGAATCTACCAAAGCATCATCTTCTCCAGCCTGTGCAACGCCATTGCTCATGACTGACTTAGGAGATCTGTCACCAACAGGATTATCTTCTTGAGGTTGTGTGGTTTCTTTTGCATTCTCTCTAACCACCTGATCAAGCAGAATTGACATGTTCCAGTATCCAACGCCGGAAGATTAAAAACATAACAGATAACTGCAAAATAAAAACATAAGGGAAGAAAAAACAAACCTGAGCTGACTCCTCCAGTGGCTCTTTTTCTGATTTGCTCTCGTCTTCCTGGACCAAAACAAAGTAACAAACTATATCATAAGTTATCATGAATATTTTCAAAGCTAATCAAACATAAACATGAAAACAAGAAAAATTACCACGTGCTCATTAGTAGCACATACATCATTTTGCTCCACGCTACCAGATGTATCTTGACATATCGAAGCAAGCACATCACTATAATCATCCAAAGAAATGCCTAAGGTTTTCACTGCTTGCACTATATAGGGTTTAAGCCTGGTTGCACAACTTTCAAGAACTCTCTCCCCCAAATTTCGAGCAATTGGTGGAACTTCCTGAATCATTATGATGGTGACCATGACAATTACACAAAATTGACAATAAAAATATGGTTCAAATTCAAAATCACAATCTACTAAAAAGAATGGTATCAAATCGTCAAACCCCAACCTCATTGTCTTTCTTTAAACTGGCTAAGATTGGAGAGAGCAAGTCCAGTGATATATCTTCACTTTCCTCTAGAACAAGGGTCATTACAGTTTCCATGGATGAAAAAACATTCTCTGGATGATGCTCCCTGAAAAATTTAAACACAGGTGGTTAAAACCATGTCCACACATTCAGCTTCCAACTAGCTAAATCTTTTCTATATATGTTACAAAAATATGAAAGAAATTAATCACTTAAATCAACAAATGTATACAAGGCATTAAGCAGGTAAAAAATAGATATAATCAAATCTCAAGTGGGAACACACTACTGTCACTACAACTACCACTTATATTTTCATATTAACTTCAAACCATAAACAAAAACATTCCATCTAATCCGGCCTACTAGTATAAAAGTATGTTTAGAATCAAATGTTCAATTAATGTTGCAATAAGTTAGTTGCCACTTTTATCTTGTATGTTTCACCATGCAAAGAATATAATGGCCGAGTTCAATAAAAACCCATATCCAGGTAAATCAAAAGAAGGAAAACCAAACCACGTGAAACATCAAGATCATTATTTAGAAATAAAATGATATCAGTCATCAGAATTCAGAACCATGTTGATAATCAACCCTCACATTTGATCAAAAGTAAATTTGTTAATGCATCCATTTTAACATATTTTACATCTAAAGTAACTGCCCACTTAATACAGCTCATCCAGACTATATTGTTGAAGATTATATAATGTACGAAGTACCCCCCAAAAAAATGCAATAAATCAGAAACATTATCACACAAGACCTGACTCTTACCTTATCGTCTTCAAGAAATGCTGAAACATCTCCAAAATCAGGGCATCACATTCAAGATCAAGCATTACCACACATGACCTGACTTTAGCAACTGTCTCAAGAATCATAGTCCTCTTTGCATATGATCGGCTTGACTTATCATAAAGATTTTCAAATGAAGATACAATTAATCCAAAGACCTCCTGAAAGAAAATTACATCAGTAAAACTTGTCACATAATCAATCTGCAAAGAACATGAAAATATGATCCGTTTAATTTGTAGTAGAGAATAATTGTGCACACCTTCATTTGGTCATCGTCATAAGGAGCATCAGGTGCAGTGATTCTTGTTATCTCACTGATGCAAGAGGCAACTGCAATTTTGACATCAACATCCGAATGCCTCAAAAGTTTATCAGCAATTAATGCTTTCAATGACGGAGAGAGTGCATTTTGCATGGATTCAGTAGGTGACTGTTCAACCTTTGAAAGGCAACTCTCAACTTGCTGCAGTTCCAAGAAATAAAATGTAAGATCAAGAAAATGTGACTAATATTTTGGCCATCCATTAACTTAAGAGCATGTCTTGAGGTTCTCATATCTTTTCCTAGAGAGGAATTCTTGAGCTTAACAACACTTCAAACCTATGTGTACTTAAAAAGTGACTAGTTAACAAGGAATTAAAAAATGCCTTTTGCTCATTTGCAATATTTGTTAAAATTAGCCCCCACGAGTTACAGCATTAACCACTCAGGGAAATCAAAGTATATGGATCGGATCTTCTCATGTCAAAATTTGACATGACCTTTTCATGTCTTAGATCAAAGTATGTAAAGAACCCAACATCTAAGATATAATGGCTACAATACTAGGTATTTGGAAGAAACAGAATTTACAAACAAATTCAGTTAGAGGAAAAAGGGCAGTTACTTAACAATTAAAAATTTAATAATTTGTACCAACAATATATTGCTCAAGCATAATTTAATCAAAAACTAGTATAATGAGGCTCTTTGATAGATATGAACACCCGGATGTACCACAGGCAGTAGCCACAGATGGTCCATATTTTGCAATATATTTTTTCCTTTCCTTTTAAATCGAGGAATTAATTCATAAAATATAATCCAACGAAAGTCGAAATTTGAGCTTGCAAATTTAAAGATATGAGCAAGATATTAAATTGTCCACAGCAAGAAAATGTATTTAACCTAGTGATTAATGAATTCAATTGTACCATTTTTTCCATGCGACTTGAAATATCTGGCAGGATGAGTAAATTTATATTGCTAACAATTCATAACAAACATAACCAACTTACTCTGGGACTGGGAGGCTCTTTGGAGCTCATTAATTTTATATTCTTGTTTCAATTTGGCTTAGGCTAACTTGTTATCATACACTTCTGTATCCGTCTATTTTCTCCTAGCAACAGATCTTGTACAGCTTTATTCATTTACAACAAATGCAGTCATATCTAAGATACCACCAATTCTGACAATCAATAAAAACTGAATGAATTCAAAACCAGCATTCAATTCAACTTTTTGCACTTGTACCACTTGTTTAAAACCCGGTCAGTAAATGCTGGCATCCTAAATCATTTACATTTCCTTAAGCAGACAGTCATGAAGATTAATGTTGAAGACATCTCATTCAATCATATTGTAGATTTAATACTATTACCAATTAAACCTCAGTACATTCAAGAAATGTGGCATCCGAGAACACAGCGTATATCTCTATCTATGTATACATACATACATATGTCTGAGTGCGTATAATACTATTATGCAAATCTCAAAACTAAAAGACTTCAATTAATTCAAAAATGAATTCTTATACAAAACTAGTTTGGAATCAAATTAATTTCACTAACAAATCCTTTTGTAGCTCACAATCGAGGATTTACAAACAAATTATTGTCAATTTTATAACGAAAGAGTTCGAAACAGTTCAGGACGTTTACAAACTATGAATAAGGAGCAAAAAGTTCTATAAACCATTCCAAATTCTTAGATATTCTTCACTCTCTAATAGAAGAGATGCAATTAGGGCAAAAACAACGCCAGGCAACGGCGCCCGTACAAAACACGAAAAATGAAACACACCACCGCGACTCAAAATCAATTCATGAAACCCTGGAGAACAAGCTCCATGCATCAAATAAACAAACGATGCATCATATAATAACAATAACGAAGAGAAAAAACAAACACTTGACAGAAGAAAAGAAGAGAACAGGGCGTGCTTACATCTAGAAGAGGAAGTAGTTCGTCGACGGAGGAAGGAGGATCTACGAGCTTGTTTCCAGCTTCTAGAAGCTGCTCTTCCAGCTCCTTATCCGTCGAAGCCATTGTTGACGTGTTTCGAGTCTCTCTCTCCTTGCAGATCTTGCACGCTCTCACTCCATCGAAACCCTAGAAACCCTCCAATCGAAGCGTATTCAACACGGTTCAAACCTAAATGCTGGTTTTCTCAAGCAACAAACAAAACGTTAGGGTTTTTTTTTCCTTCTTTTTTTTTTTTTTCTTCTCTTACTTTCTTTTCCTTTCCGTTCCGATACAGAAAAACGGAGCGAGAGAGAAAGAGAGTAAAGTGAGATTTTGGAAAAATTCTGAACACGTAAATGAAAAATCTTTTCGTGTATGTTTGTATTTATATATATTAGAAATTAGATTTTATTAGATTTTTTTAATTGTTTCAATTTTAATTTGGGCGCTTCAAAGGAGAATCCACTACGGTTCGGCTCGGATCTCACGAGTTCTTGAATTCGAGTTAAACTCGGGTTTTGAAATCCGGCTTTTGGATTTTTATGGGCTTGGGGTCCACGTGGCTTTCCCCTTACCGTGAATCTTGATTCTTACCCTTTTTTATTTTGTTGTGTTATTTTACCTTTTATATTATGGAAGGATTCAAAACAAAAAAATTGAGAGCTCAATCATTTTCATTTTGGCATGGGAATAACTGGTTATTTGGTGCAACAGTTTTGATGAAAATTATCTAGCGTTTGATCCTCTGCTACGATGCATCTAGTTTGGTCCAAATCGGATTTCGGTTAAATAATCAGATTCATATTCTTGCCTTGTACCCAAAAGGGCAAGGAGCCAAGGACCCATGTCATGTAGATTTGGTCATTTATGGATGTGTACTTTTTGTTTTTTTTTTTTATTATTATTTGGATTTCTAAATTTTACTATCCTTAAAACTTTGCATTCACCGTTTATTCTTTTCCATGTTAAAATTCAATGACATCACCATGTATATATTTATTTTTACTTTGCAAGATTGCTTCATTAACAAAACGAGCAAAAAAAAACATAAATTAGATAAAGGTAAGAATAAAAAATTTTATACTCCTATTAATCCTGCATCATAATTTAAAGCCGATAGAGAGTAAATATAATTTTATAATAAGAATATAATTGAAAAAAATATATAAAGACTCAGAAAAAAAATTAATTTATGTCTTAACAAAATTTCCTCACGGGAGTTTCTAGTTTTTTTTATTTGCAAAAGTAACGGATAATGTATGTTAGAAGACACATTTATGAATAAAAAAAAGGGATATGGATCCCTGGTGTGAAAAAAAAACATGACATAATCATGTGAAGAATCATATGTTGGAAATCAACAATCACACAAAATCGAGAAAACAGAAAAAGAAGAAGAAGATAAGAGTAGAGAGATTGACACGAACCCAATTAAGGCTACGTCCAGCTTGTCTGTACTATATTCTCCTCACCGCCACTCGTTACAAGTCACTCGATTTACAAGAAAAAATATAAATAGGATTAGAAAACCCTAATAGCAGCTATTCATGGGCCCAAGCCCAAACTGCTAAGAAAATCTTATATTATAAAGGAATCTTATATTATAAAGGAATTCCATTCTGTGGAAACCTTGCTGACGTGTCGCACTGTGGTTCAATTTCACCATTGTGTTCACACTACAACATTTAAAAAAGTTTCCTTTAATGGTAAATCGGTGAATATAATAAATACAAAAAAGAATTATATTTTCAATTGACAGGATTTGTTACTTTAAATCAATGGTCAAGATTGCTTATTCATTGATTTATAACTACTAAATCAATCTTTGTCGTCATCTTTGTTTTTTAAATAATTGATGTTGATCATTGTTATTAAAACAAATGACTGTTTTATTCCATGAAAATCTCATTTATAACTACTGAATCACTTTTTTGTCGTCATCTTTATTTTTTAAATAATTGATGTTGATCATGTAATCTAATCGTTTTTTTTAACCTTTATTCAGTGTAATTCAAATCTTTACGTTTTTTGAAAAAAAAACAGGATATTCATTGTTATTAAAACATATGACTGTTTTATTCCATGAAATGACTGTTAAAAAAATGGGATATTCATTGATTTATAACTACTAAATCACTCTTTGTCGTTATCTTTGTTTTTTAAATCTTTATTCAGTTTAATTCAAAAACTTCACATTTTTTAAAGAATACAATTCTATTTACTCGAAAAAAAAATTAATTAGTAAAAAAAAAAGTATACATATCCCGACCTTTGTTCCTTATTTTCAGATTTTTAAATTTGAATCTTTTATTAACCTCTTGATTCAGTGGAATCAGGTATGAGTGTTTTGTTATTAGAAAAAACTTATGTTTTATTCCATGAAAATTTCATTTATAACTACTGAATCACTCTTTTGTCGTCATCTTTGTTTTTTAAATAATTGATGGTTATCATGTAATCTAATCGTTTTTTTTAACCTTTATTGAGTTTAATTCAAATCTTTACGTTTTTTGAAGAAAAAAAATGGGATATTCATTGTTATTAAAACAAATGACTGTTTTATTCCATGAAAATCTCATTTATAACTACTGAATCACTCTTTTGTCGTTATCTTTGTTTTTTAAATCTTTATTCAGTTTAATTCAAAAACTTCACATTTTTTAAAGAAGACAATTCAAAAACTATAAATCACTCTCATTTATACAATTCCTGATACGCATTATTCTTCAACGTCGGTGATTGCTTCTCTGTTTTTTCTTCTTACACAAAATATGAGTTCAAAATATGATTTTCTGAAGGATGTTAATCCTGCCAAGGAGGACTGGAGGATTAAGGTGAAGGTGGTTCGGACTTGGAAAGTTCCTAACTTTCAGCGTAAAAATTTGGAGGACAATCTTGAAATGGTTTTATTGGATGAACAGGTTGTGTTCTGTGTTTTAAAAATCTTCCATCTTTGTTTTGATCATTTTAGTTAACGTTGTTGACATAAGTTGGCTCCATTCTTTTGTAGGGTGGTAGGATCCACGCCACTGTCAAAGGTACCTTGCAGGTGCGGAATAAAATCAACGAAAGAGAGTGCTATTTTATAAAAAAATTGGAGTTGGATTCAATAGCGATGTGTTTAGGCCAACCAAGCATCAGTATCGTTTGTCTTTCAACTTAAGGACTGATGTTAAATCGATTGTTGTTTCTGATATTTGTGCGAGTGATTTTGATTTTGTTGATTATAACATCATTGAGAAAGAAACGTCTGACTCCCCTTATTTAGTCGGTAATAGATTCTTCCTCACTGTTATCCTTTTTTAATTATTGCGGGTTTTATTTTTTTCCCATACTCTTTGCTTATTCTGTATCATGACTATTTCCTTATTTTTAAACTCTTTGCGGTTATAGTTTTGTGTTTTTAATGTTTTGGCACGAGTAATCTTATTCTGTATCATTATTTTTTTCATTAACTGTGTTTTTTATGTTTCTGTATTCGTTTTTTATTATTGCATAATTTTTTTCACAAACTCTTTGCTGCATTTTTTTTTGTAGACGTCATTGGTTTAACCTCAGGAATTGGGAAAGTTTGTGATCGTGTGGTTTCTGGTAGGAAGACAAAAATGGTGGTGTTGGAGCTTGACGACCGGAGGTACTTACAAATGTTTAGTTAAATGAATTATTTTTGTCCAGCTCTGTTAGCTTATATTTTACGTGTATTAACGTTGTGCTTGCTGCAACTCACGTGTAGGGGTCATAAGTTGGAGTGCACTTTGTGGGAGCATTATGTGGATGAGGTCCAATCTTTTTTGGCAGACAACGACGATCCTCATAACGTCCTGATAGTCCAACTGGGAAGGATTAAGTGTTTTAGAGGTATGTTTTTTCCAAACAACGTTGTTTTAATTTTTGCTTTTATAATCAGTTTTTATGCACGTTATTTTAATTAATTTTGCTTCTATATTCAATGTTTATCTGAACCTTTTAACTCAATAGGTAAGGTCGAGATAACAAATACAAAATATACAACAAGGATTGTAATGGATTCAAAATTGAATGAGATTGTTGAGTTCAAAAAATAGTGTGTACCTTCTTTCTTCAGCTCATTTATTCGGTTATTGATTAATGGATTTTCATATTTTTTTGATTTTTTAATTATTAATTTTTGCGTTATAGTCTCTCGATTGATGGTGTGGAAAGTAGTACAAGGATGACTCAATTGTCCACTCAGTCATCCTATTCTTTCGAAAATGATTTTCTTAAGGAAACTGAAAAAAAGTCTATCAGTGATGTGAAACTTTGTGTTGAGGTAAATGTTCAAATTTAATTTTTACTTTTCTTTAATTTTTACTTTCCTTTAATTCTGTCAATTTTGTATTGATGATATTTTATGTTAAACTGCGATTGCTTTAATTAAGGTAACTACCTGCATCACATACGGGACTATAAAGGCAATTGAGAGCAAATACAACTGGTGGTACAAGTCATGCAAAAAGTGTCCATTTTCCGTTTATGAGGATTTTGAGAAGTGATATTGTAAGAACTGCCAAAAACATTGGGAAGATTATTATCTGAGGTAAAATATTCTTCTTAGTTTATAACCTGTCTTTAATCCGTATCATTCATGTACATTGCGGATATACAATTTCGCAAAATTCCAGATTTAGTGTTCAGGTCAGAGTTGTGGATAACACAGATTCCGCATCCTTTATTCTGTTTGATCGCGACTGTGTGTCTTTGTTGGGAATGAGTGCTGCTGAATTGCGCGAGCTGCATTTCAAGAGGGCTTGTTTTTTAATTGCTGTGTTATGGTTAAAATGTATTTTTTGTCGTTTTGTGCTCTCTGTTTGCGTTGTCTATGTTCTGTTCTTTTTTTTTTAGAATAATTTTTTTCCCTTTTCATTTTTTTTAGGGTGCCGATTTGGATCAATTTCCAAACGAGTTAAATGTTCTGAATGAAAAGTCAAAGTTGTTCAAGATAAATGTTAAGCAAAAGGATTTGAACACAAATAGTGAGCCCAAATATCAAGTTTCCAAAATTTGTATCAGCGAAGACATAATCTCAGCGTTCATTAAGTCTCTTATCCATTCTGTGGAAACCTTGCTGATGTGTCGCACTGTGGTTCAATTTCACCATTGTGTTTACACTACAACATTTAAAAAAGTTTCCTTTAATGGTAAATCGGTGAATATAATAAATACAAAAAAAAATTATATTTTCAATTGACAGGATTTGTTACTTTAAATCAATGGTCAAGATTGTTTATTCATTGATTTATAACTACTAAATCACTCTTTGTCGTCATCTTTGTTTTTTAAATAATTGATGTTGATCATTGTTATTAAAACAAATGAC